ATTGCTGAATGATGACACACAATCCGTGTCGAAACGTATATTTTAAATAAATATTTTGTATTTATTTGTTTCTTTTATTTCGACGACTGGCTGAAAATCATATCAAGACAAGTCTCAACGTCGAACAAAAAAAAATCTCGTGTCTATTTTCGTAGTTTTTTCCCCAATGTCGATTAACACGATCGATTCCCAGCACTAATTCGATTTTAGTGACAACGAAATTTGAAGAACAACACACACCTTATTAATTCAGAATCGAAATTCAGTGAATCACAATTAGTCGTGCAGACAAGTCATAATAAGAATTATTCTAATAAATATTATTAATTTAATATTTAATTATTAGAATTATTAGCAATTGATTTTTTTAATTGAAGTGCTTAGTGAAGAAAATTGTGTTGTAAAATAATTATTGGGGGATTTGTTAGAATCAGATATAATTTAAGGTTTGTGTATTACCATTAATTTTATTTAATTTTTAGTATATAATTTTTATAATTTTATTTATTATTACATAATTTATTCCGCAATTATACGTAATTTAATATTTATTCAAATTTTTTCGAAAAATTGTGTGAACTTCAAAAATTATATTATTCTTCTGTTTGAATTTTTAAACTCGTCTGATGATTCAAAGTTGCCATGGGTAAACATAAGGCAATTACATTTGATTTTTGGATTAAGTTTGCTAGTCAGTAGAGTCCCTTTTTAATTCTAGATTCAGTTTGTTTGTCAGTAGAGTCCTTTTTCTTTAAATTTCTAGATTAAGTTTACTTGTCAGTAGAGTCCCTTTTTTAACTCTAGATTCAGTTTGCTCGTCAGTAGAGTCCCTTTGTTAATTCTAGATTAAGTTTGCTCATTAGTAGCGTCCTTTTTTAAGATTTTTGGAAGTTTGCTCGTCAGTAGAGTTCTTTTCCTTTAGATTTTTGGATTCAATTTTCTCGAAAGTTCTTTTACTTTTTATTTCTGAATTCAGTTTGCTCGTCAGTAGAGTTCTTTTTTATATTTGATTTTTATATTTAGTGTGATCGTCAGTAGAGTCCTTTTTCTTTAAATTTCTGAAATCAGTTTGCTCGTCAGTAGAGCTCTTTTCCATATTTAGTTTGATTGTCAGTAGAGTTCTTTTTCTTTAGGTTTTTGGTTTCAGTTTGCTCGTCAGTAGAGTACTTTTTCTGTAGATTTTTGGATGCAGTTTGATCGTCAGTAGAGTCCCTTTTTCAAATTTAGATTAATTTTGCTCGCCAGTAGAGTCCTTTTCTCTAGATTTTTGGATTAAGTTTGCTCGTCCGTAGAGTCCCTTTTTTGAATTCTGCTCGTTAGTACAGTTCTTTTTTTACATTTGATTTCTAGATTCAGTTTGCTCGTCAGTAGTGTTCGCTTTTTGTCCATGTTTTACTTATCTAGATCAAAATGTAATTTGTTTGTAATGGTCTCAATGAACATGCTTAACAATTAAAGTCCTACGGAAACTGGTTCAATTATAAAAATTGTTGATTTTTGAAATGTTGCTTTTTGAAAATACTCCTAGTTAACTTGTTCGTTCGTTCGTTTTCAATGATGTGTAATAAAACCACTCGGAATACTTTTAATCACTCATAAATTAATTTATATTTCATTGATTAAGTCGATTATTTACACATATCGGGAATTTCATATAACTTGCCTCAAGGCAAAATACCAATGCCAACTAGTTATTTGTATTTTTTTTTTACTTTTAATTTTAGACGACATGCATAACGTATCTTTTCACATCGCGCGTAATTCGCGAAGTTATTTCTGAATATTCTAAATATTTGTGAAGATTCTCTCTAATCAAGACAAAAGTTCTCTTCAACATTGTTTGAAATCTTTACACAAAGCGAAGGCGAATATTTGTGAAATATTTGCGAATCCTTTGATTGTTCCAAAGTTTTGTTTCGAGAAGAATTTTTGCGGTTGCCATGGGAACGGACGTATATAATACAGAAAGATATAATATATATATATATATATATTTTGTAGAGTTTCGAACAAGAATCCAAAAATAATACAAAATAAAAAACAAGAAAAGTTTTTAAAAAATCTGATCGGTTTGTGATCGGTTTGTGATCTGATCTAATGTTGACACTGTTAGAAACATTTATGAGGATGAGACAACTCTCCGCGAATAAGATTCACTCCAAAGATTTTATATCACGAAAGTTGCATCTTTAGAAGGTTATTCGCGGAGAGTTGTCTCATCCTCATAAATGTTTCTAACAGTGTCAACATTAGATCAGATCACAACCTATTACATGATTCATATTTAAATTTTTTACACTTTTTGACAAACAATTAATATCGACTTCCTTTTAAGATCAACAATTTAAGTATTCACACCCTGACATATAAAAACACACACATACAATCTCACATCTCTCGTTCAAGTGTTTACACGTGTTACAAAGGGCACACCAGTTTCATTTAGTTAATTTTCGAAAACCAATCGAACAACATCCAGAGAACAATATTATTTGTGTTTTCAAATAATAATTTTAAAAAAGACAAATTTTTTAGTAATTTTGATTTACAAAATCTAATTATTCGGCGGAAAATTAACTCACAAAATCATTTTTGTTAAAAAAGCTTGTTTAGTGAAAAAGTGCTAACAAATATTCAAACATACAGGTAATTAATTCAACTTTGTCATTAACCTTTTCTTAAAAAATTTCCATAACTTTCAAAAAAAAAAATTTTCTATTATGTTTAATATCCTGTTCTGATAATCCACTCATTTATTTTTATCATTTTTATCATTTTCATTTTGAACATATTATCATATTTCTGTACATTATTATATTTTTTACAATTTAATTCATTATTTAAGAAAAATCTATTTTCTTTTCCTAAACATATTGTTTGCTAAAATCTCATCAAGATCATGTTTCTTGACAGATGTCCTGAAGATGGAACGTACCTAGTTCCGAAACGTCGACAATAAACAAATAATTAAATAAAGAAATTGTTTTTTTAAAAACTTTTCTTGTTTTTTATTTTGTATTATTTTTGGATTCTTGTTCGAAACTCTACAAAATATACACAAATCCAAGACTCTACCATTCAATATATATATATATATATATATATATATATATATATATATATAAAATTCATTGATTATTACATTAAAAAATATCGAAAATGTTGTGGCAGTCTTGGAAATTTTGTCTTTTTTGTCAAAGTCTTAGAAACGTTGTCGGAGTCTTAAAAAAGTTTCCGGAATTTTAAAAAAAATTGTCTTAAATTTAATTATTTTGCTAAGCCCTAAAAAGTATTTCGAGTCCTAAATAAGGCTCTGGAGTTCTAAATGAGGCTTTGGAGTCCTAGATAAGGCTCCGGAGTTCTAGATAAGGCTCTGGAGTCCTAAATAAGGCTCTGGAGTCCTAAATAAGGCTCTGGAGTCGTAAATGAGGCTCTGGAGTCCTAAATGAGGCTCTGGAGTCCTAAATGAGGCTCTGGAGTCCTAAATGAGGCTCTTGAGTCCTAAATAAGGCCCTGGAGTCCTAAATAAGGCCCTGGAGTCCTAAATAAGGCCCTGGAGTCCTAAATAAGGCCCTGGAGTCCTAAATAAGGCCCTGGAGTCCTAAATAAGGCCCTGGAGTCCTAAATAAGGCTCTGGAGTCCTAAATAAGGCCCTGGAGTCCCAGATAAGGCCCTGGAGTCCCAGATAAGGCTCTGGAATCCTAAATGAAGATCTGGAGGCCTAAATAAGGCTCTGGAGGCCTAAATAAGGCTCTGGAGTCCTAAATAAGGCTCTGGAGTCCTAAATAAGGCTCTGAAGTCCAAAATAAGGCTCTGGAGTCCTAGATAAGGCTCTGGAGTCCTAGATAAGGCCTTGGAGTCCTAAATAAGGCTCTGGAGTCCTGAAAAAAATTCCTGATTCCCTAAAAAAGTTGCCTTAGGTTCTAATGGATCAGCCTAAAAAATATCCATAAGTACTGAGACTTTAAATTCTAAGATAGTTGCCGGAGTCTTAAAAATGTTTCCAGAGGCCTAAAGTAGTTGCCCTATTTGTTTGCAAAACATGAATCATAAAAAACGAAGATACCTTATCGGATGTGATTGATTGATTTGGGCCTTATCAGCCAAAATAATTCCGATAATATTTTGACGCAGACGAAAAATTTAAAAACAATCACGAAAAAATAGATTAGTAAAAGACTCATACTATAATGTCTATTTATTTGCCTAAATTCCTTAAAATTGTCCAAAACTGGCCAAAATTGCCTAAAATTGTCCCAGACTGTCTAGAACTGTTTAAAATTTTCCAAAACTATCTAGATCTCCTTAAAAGTGTACAAAATTGTTTAAAATTGTCCTAGACTGTCTAGAACTGTTTAAACTTGTCCAAAACTATCTAGATTTCCTTAAAATTGTCCAAAATTGTTCAAAACTGCCAAAATTGTCTAAAATTGTCCCGGACTGTCTAAAATTGTTTAAAATTGTCCAGGACTATCTAGACCTCCTCCAAATTGTCCAAAACTGTCTAAAATTGTCCCAGACTGTCTAGAACTGTTTAAAATTATCCAAAACTGTTGAGAATTTTTCAAAATTGTCCAAAATTGTTCAAAATTGTCTAAATTTATCCAAATTTACAGATTAGTGAAATATTATTATGGCAATGTGTATTAATTTGCTGTGCGATCAGGTGTATTTTACATAACTAGAATTCTGTTATCATAGATATCATAGGATTCTTTCTTGTTTTGTTTGTATGTAAAATACGCCTGATCGCACAACAAATAAATAAACATTTTCACAGTTTCGCTATCAAGTTGCCATGACAACACTATTTTATGATGCAGAATTGACACTTAAGATACTTATAAAAAAGTCATCATTAAATACAGATTTTATTGTTAATCTAACTATTTTTTTTATACAGATCACATTCTCCAAGAATGAACTACCACTATCATCATCTTAACCAATCCAAGAATTTCTAAGTCTAATTTAGGCTAAAATTCAAAAAATGTGAAGCAATGGTCTTAGGTGTTGCAGCCGTTCCAGGCGCCCCCGACACTCTCCTGTGCCATCCAACTCACAGAACAACCCAGATTCTGGCTTATGCAATTCTTCCAGCATGTTTTGGACTATTTATCCACATATTACAGGTAAGAAAAACAAAACTAACTAGTGGTGTATGGCATCGTGCCTTAAGGCAAATTGCTGGAACTTCCCGTACCGCAATAAAATATTCGAGAGTCGTCAAATGTATTATTACAAATACTCTGTAACTTTCATTATTTTTGCTATCTTATTGTTATATCTAAGCAAATCAAATGTAAATTATAAATAAATCAATTTATCTCCAGAATATTAACAATCGTTCGTCAATTCAATTCGATTTTAATTTCAAAAGAAAAATAGTTGCCTAATTTACACAAAATTGAAAAAGTGCTCCCGTATAGTCAGTCATTTGCAAATAATTCTGTGCGGCATTTTCACTTATACTGCGCTCAGCTTGGCGGCATTTTCACATTTTTCAATAGTTTTCACAGAATTGGAAAAGTGTTTCAATACATAAGCAGTCTAAACACATTCGGGTAAACCTTTGTACCAGAGTGGCGCTTAGACTGTGCTTAATCTGGGTAATTTTTTGAATTTTTGTATTTAGTATTTTTCATCATCAACTGTATTTTACCAGACATGAAAATAAAAAGGACTCTACTGACAGGCAAACTATATTTTGCATTATATGAACTGACGAGCAAACTGAAATACTCGTCTGCTCGTCAGTAGAGTCCCTTTTATTAATACTAGATTAATTTGCTCGTCAGTAGAGTCCCTTTTATTAATTCTAGATTAATTTGCTCGTCAGTAGAATCCCCTTTTTAATTCTAATCCTTTTAATAATTTCCTAGCTTTTGCTCTGAGAAGAAAAAGGACTCTACTGACGAGGAAATGTATTTTGCAATATATGAAAATAAAAAAGGACTCTACTGACGAGCAAACTATATTTTACCAGTCATGAGAATAAAAAAGGACTCTACTGACGAACTAGAAATTTAAGAAAGGACACCATTGACGAGTTCCTTTTTCATAAAAATAATGTCTGAAATTGCTCATCAGTAGAGTCCCTTTTTAATACTATATTACTTAGAGTCCCTTTTTGTATATTTTAGCTGTAGCTCGTCAGTAGAGTCCTTTTATTAATTTTCTATCCTTTGCTCGTCAGTAGAGTCCCTTTTTTAATTCTAAATTAGTTTGCTCGTCAGTAGAGTCCCTTTTTTAATACTAGATTAGTTTGCTCGTCAATAGAGTCCCTTTTTTAATACTAGATCAGTTTGCTTGTCAGTAGAGTCCTTTTATTAATATTAGATTAATTTTATCGTCAGTAGAGTCCGTTTTTGATATATTTTAGCTTTAGGTCGTCAGTAGAGCCCTTTTTTAAATACTAAAAATGCGGATATATAAAACACACACATCCATTTAGTTTCTGAGGTATGCCCCTTAAAAATGTTCAGAAACCTTCAAAACGTCGAGAAATGTAAAAATTTTCAATTTCAATTTTCGGCCCATTACAATAACTACCCTACGGGAAGTTAATAACAAATTTGAAATATCTGCTATTTTATTGATTAAATAGAAAATATGATAAAATAGCAAAATTAAAAACAATAAAGTAAAAAAGTAGATGTAAGATTTGAAAAGTCGGATTATTAGAAAGACATTTTTAAGAGTCGATACAATAGAAAGGTGGTGGCCTAACAAAATAAAAATCAAGAAGATATTTGCGAAGCACATAATTTTGTAATGTATAATATTTGAAAGTCGAGGCAGAATTTAAAGAGCAAGTTTAGAAAGATATCTTCACACAAAGACGATAAATTAGAAAGATGAATTCGACGGACAAGAATTAGAAAGAATGGAAAGTCAAAATAACAATACTGCTATTTTATTGATTAAATAGAAAATATGACAAAATAGTAAAACTAAAAACAATATAAAAGTCAGATAATTAGAAAGATATCTTTTAAAGACGGTAAAATAGAAAAGTCGTGACCTAACAAAATAAAAATAAAAAAAATATTATTGGCAAAATTTTGTAATATAATATTTGAAAGACAAGGCAGAATTTAAAAAGCAATGTTAAAAAGATATTTTTAAATCCGAAAATCGAAATCGTTGACACAAATTGTCTCCACACATACACACACATACACACATATCCATTTTCTCTGAGGTATTCCAAATTGTTCAGAAACCTCTAAAACGTGAAGATATACAAAAATTTTCATTTTTGATTTTTGGCCCATTTATATAACTTACCCTACGGCATTTAATTATTATTAATTTTGTATTTGCTTGTTGGATATGATATATAATTTTATTAGCAAATTTAAAAGAGGACTCTACTGACAAGCAAATTTTAAATTTAAACTAGATTAGTTCGCTTGTCCGTAGAGTCCCTTTTTTAATACTAAAAATGCGGACATACAAAAAACATACACACATCCATTTAGTTTCTAAGGCATGTTCTTTAAAAATGTTCAGAAACCTTCAAAACGTCGAGAAATGCAAAAATTTTCATTTGCGATTTACCCTACGGGAAGTTAATAGTAATAACCAATAATATTGACAATCAGTTTTTATTATTATTTCAGACGATAGCTGATGCTGGTCTAGCCTTCCAGCTATGGAAAGCAGATCAGCCTATATGGGCAACCATCACATTCGGCCTAATTTTGGCACCGGCACTTTTAGGAGCCATATTCACTTTATCGCAACCAGAAAATTGGCCAGGGACTCCTAAACGCAACTGCCTGTATATAACCAAGTATGGTATTTACCATATTTTACTGTTCCCTTTGGCAGCAGTCCACAGGTTAGTAGAAATTAGGGTTTATACAAAAACCGACATTTCAAAAACCGGTTTTCGAATTTTAATTTCACTAAAAAACCGGTTTTAACCGTTTTTCGAATTTTATATAGAAAATAAATTTTTGCTCGAACATTCTGTAATTTATCCGCAAATTTAGTGTAATTTAAAGCAGAATTCGAATGAATTTATTTATTATTCAGTTTTATAAATAGTAAACAAAATTATTTTAATTTTAATTAGTAGAACTAAAAAATAATAGTTTATCTTGATTAAATAACTTTGAAAATAATTATTCGTTATTCATGCATCATTTTCACATATAAGAATGAAAATATTTTTATGGTAGTGAAAGGAAAGTTTTCGAATAAATAAAAATAATACATTTTCAAATAAAAAAATTAATTAAATAACAAAAAAAAGAGTGCTCGTAAGGATCCCACGCGATTGAAGTAAAACTTATTTGCTACTGTACAAAGTAGCAAATTTAAGTTAAGTAAAAATAAATATATCATATAACAATTTTGGATAATGTTTATTAATATTATGCTAACACTCGCTCGTGATGCACACATTTATTCGTGTTAACCATTATACACATTTATATAATGATAAATTAGAAATTATATTTCTATAATAGCATTAAAAATATGTATAATATTTAAAAACAATAATGTAATTAAAGTCATACTTCAAATACGACATGATCGGTTTGTCATTGTAATTAGCATTCAGAGGAGAAATGAAGTAATTGCTGATTAATAAATTCTATAATATTCTAAACTAATATTGTTTTCGCAACTTCACTCATCATGTAATAATTGTGTTTGAAGAACTTCATGTAATTAAAATTAACATACATTCATTGACTGCTTGTATTTTTTTTACTTTTTCGCTGGCGATATAATCTCATTCTTTGAACAGCTGTAATATCTGTCTTGCCTAAAAATATTTTCCATTTTAATAACTTCAAAGATTTATAGAAACTACAAGTCCATTATTTTTGAGTTTAATTTTAGTTTTGTTTGTCAGTAGAGTCCCTTTTCAATGTTATTTTTAAATTGCTCGTCAGTAGAGTCCATTTTTCTTTAATTTTTAATTTAATCATCAGTAGAGTCTCTTTGAATTTTATTTTTATTCTGCTCGTCAGTAGAGTCCCCCTCCTTTTTTCATTTTTAGTTTGCTCTTCAGTAGAGTCCCATTTTCTTCCATTTTTAATTTAATCATTAGTAGAGTTTATTTTTCTTTTATTTTTAGTTTTGCTTATCAGTAGAGTCTGTTTTTAATTTTATTTTTAGCATGCTCGTCAGTAGAGTCCCTTTTACTTTCATTTTCAATTTTGCTCGTCAGTAGAATCCTTTTTTCTTTTTCCTTTAATTTTTAATTTAATCATCAGTAGCCTCTTTGAATTTTATTTCTACTTGGTCGTCAGTAGAGTCGCTTTTCCTTTCATTTTCAATTTTGCTCGTCAGTAGAGTCCTTTTTTTTCTTTTTCTTTTAATTTTTAATTTAATCATCAGTAGTCTCTTTGAATTTTATTTCTATTTGGTCGTCAGTAGAGTCCCTCTTTAATTTTATTTTTAGTATGCTCATTAGTGATGTCTCTTTCAGTATGCTCGTCAGTATAGTCCTTTTACCTTTGATTTTAATTTAATCATCAGTAGAGTCTCTTTGAATTTTATTTTTATTTTGCTCGTAAGTAGAGTCTCCCTCCCTTTTTTATTTTTAGTTTGGTCGTCAGTAGAGTCCCTTTTTCTTTAATTTTTAGTTTGTTCGTCAGTAGAGTCCCATTTTCTCCAATTTTTTTTTTGAAAATCAACAAACCCTAGTAGAAATAGAAACCAGATGTTTTTTATCCTATATTTAACTTTTTTTTTCCATTTTTAGGTACTGTCGTCGTATTTTCTGGTCAATGGAAGCCCTGTATGTAGAAGACGAAGGTTTAGAGCGTACAAAATGTTTGAGAAGGGCTACCGAGACTAGTCCTTGGAGCTTTACCACTTTTTGCAGGCTTTTGTGCAAGGGACAATACAGTGCCTGTTTCATATGTGGCTTATTATGCAGGATGATACTTTCAGGGATTATGATATAGGTAAATGATATAAGACAATTCTGCCTGTCTTATGCTTGTTTTTTGTTAGTTAATATTGATTTATTTTATTTATTTATTCTACAAGCCGTCGGTATAATAATATTATAAAAAGGGTCAAGTCAATATTTTATATTGACTTGACCCTTTTATATAATTTAATTAATTATTAGCTATTTTATTACTTATTTATTTATTATTTAATTTATTTAATATAAACTTATTTATATTTAGCTAATTTTAATTATTTTTAAATATAACCAGTTTGTTTGTTTATAAATTAAAAATTTAATAAGTATTTTAATAATCTTTGCAATACTTTTACAAAAAAATTATTTTATTAATCAAATTTTAAGTTATTTATATATGTGACAATGTCTATCTATTTGATGTGCGATCAAATTTGTATTTTACATACAAACAAAGCAAGGTAGAATGTTATGATAACAGAATTCTAGACGGTAGCAAAAATAGTAATTTAGTAATTTTCTTTAACAAACTTTTTTTTAAAATAATGCAAAAACTTGAAAGAATTGTAAATATACCCAAAAATTTAAATATACTTGAAATACACATAAAAATTTGAATAAACGGTCAAGATTTTTAACAACTTTCTAAAATCTAAAATAATTACCATGAATTTGAAAGTCTCAAGAATTTTAAACAAGTATCAAGAATTTAAAAACCCTCAAAATTTTGAAAATCCATCACGAATTTGGAAAATTTTAAATGTATTATAAATATGAAATGCACTCAAAAATTTGAGAATTTGTGAAGAACTGAAGAATTTGTAAAGAACTGAAGAATTTGTAAAGAACTCAAGAATTTGCAAAGAACTTACGAATTTTAAGAGCACTTCAAATTTTGAAAAACTTCAAGAATTTATAAACGAACCCAAGAATTTGTAGAGAACTCAAGAATTTGTGGAAAACTCAAGAATTTGTGGAAAACTCAAGAATTTGTGGAAAACTCAAGAATTTGTGGAAAACTCAAGAATTTGTGGAAAACTCAAGAATTTGTGGAAAACTCAAGAATTTGTGGAAAACTCAAGAATTTGTGGAAAACTCAAGAATTTGTAGAGAGCTCAAGAATTTGTAAAGAACTCAAGAATTTGAAAATAACTTACGAATTTTAAGAGCACTTCAAATTTTGAAAAATCTCAAGAATTTGTAAACAAACTCAAGAATTTGTAAACGAACTCAAGAATTTGTAAACGAACTCAAGAATTTGTAAACGAACTCAAGAATTTGTAAACGAACTCAAGAATTTGTAAACGAACTCAAGAATTTGTAAACGAACTCAAGAATTTGTAAACGAACTCAAGAATTTGTAAAAAACGATCAAGAATTTGCCAAAAACTCAAGAAATTGTAAAAAAAGATCAAGAATTTGCCAAGAACTCAAGAACTTGTAAACGAACTCAAGAACTTGTAAACGAACTCAAGAACTTGTAAAAAAAAACTCAAGAACTTGCAAAAAAAAAATCAAAAACTTGTAAAAAAAACTCTAAAATTTGTAAAAAACTCAATTTGTAAAAAAAAACTAAAGACTTAGTAAAAAAAAAAAACTAAAGAATCAGTAAAAAAAACGAGAATTTGTAAAGAGCTCAAAAATTTGTAAAAAAATCTCGAGAAATTGTAAAGAACTCACAAATTTCAAAAGCACATAAAATTTTGGAAAGCCTTACAAGTTTGTAAACAACTCAAAAATTTGTAAAATTTCAAACATTTGTAAAGAACTCTAACATTTGTAAATAATAACTGATAACAGAATTCTAGATGGTGCAGTTATCGTAACATTCTTCCTTGCTTGTTTATAAGTAAAATACGCCTGATAGTACGACAAATAGATATTTTCACTAACAATAAACAAGCATAATATATCGTTGCCATGACAACCCTATTTTATGAGGCACAGTTGACCCTTAATCATCCCTAATAAATCTAGATTTAGATTATCATAATTGCTAAATTCTTAGTCCTTAGGTATATAATGCATACAATTGCAACCCGACAACGCCAAGTGATATTTAGCTTAAGACTTGTTACAAATCATCATCAAGAATTTGCAAAGAACTCTAGAATTTGCAAAGAACTCCGAAATTTGCAAAAAACTCTAGAATTTGCAAAAAACTCGAGATTTTGCAAAGAACTCGAGAATTTTCAAAGAACTCGAAAATTTGCAAAGAACTCGAGAATTTGCAAAGAACTCGAGGATTTGCAAAGAACTCGAGATTTGCAAAGGACTCGAGAAATTTGCAAAGAACCCGAGAATTTGTTAAGTACGCAAGAATTTTCAAGGAACTCACAAGTTTGTAAAAAAAAAACAAGATTCTGTAAAAAAAAAAGATTCTGTAAAAAAAAGAACCCAAGAATTTGTAAAAAAAGAACTCAAGAATTTCAGAAGCACTTAGAGTGAAAGGTTTCACGAATTTTAAAAATGACGAAGAATATTTAAAGAAAACAAGATTTTTTAAAAAAACTCACAAATTTCAAGAGCACTTCAAATTTGAAAAACCCTCACAAATTTTCAAAAAACTCAAAAATTTGTAAAATCTCCAAGAAAGGACTTAATTTAAAGATTTTTTAAAAAAACTCGAGAATTTGGCAAACTTTTTTAACCTTTACCCTCTGTCTATTTTTCTAGTACGTCTCCAACTAGTGTCAATCTTCAGTTCCCTCCTGCGAATCTCGATGACATCAGCCCTTTACCAGAGATTTCACAGCCAAAAACTTGCAGGAAGACACTATCCCTGGGACAAAAAATTTCCTGGCGAAGATCTTGATGGCCAAAAAAAACACGAAGAACAAAGCAACAATGTGGTTTTGCTGAGCCATCGGCAAATTCCGGAAGACGTATTTTTGCCAGAAAATTTAATGACGTTGGCTGAACAGGATCAGATTTATCGGAAGACTATGAAAATTCCTGGCGAAAATTTTATGGGAAACGAGGGAAAGGATGATTGGGATCACAACAAGGTAGTAAACGAAATATAATAGTCTCTGAATTTTTTTTACTGTGCTCCAATTTGCATGAAATTTTGGAATTAGGTTCATCTTAACCTCAAGTTCGAATGTGAAAACAACTCGGGGGGGTTGCGAGCCCTTAATAAATAAGTGGACATTGAGCCGTTTTATCGCTAGAAAACGTTTTTAACATCAAAGGATATAATTAAAAAATATTTTTTAATACATTTACCTTGCAATAAAGTCAACCCTTCTCAATTGTGTAATTACATTTTTTCAAAAATAACGTCGGAAATCGATATAAGAACTAATTATGAGAACAAAATGTATTTTATAGTTTTTTAAAAAAAACGCAAATACTTTTCAAGTAACTGGCCACTAAAAACTCATATTTTTGGCGTTTCTCTTCGATTTTTGAAATTTCTTGAAACTTGAAATTTCTTGAAAATAATCAAAATCTTAGAGTTGTAACTTCAGTGTAGTGTTGGTTCTGAGTGTCTTTATAAAGAAGTCTTGATATGTAGGAATTGCAAAATATCTTGAGGAAATTTTTTGAGTCTCGAAACTTGTAGAATATTTGAAAAACAATGTCTTGAAATTGATAAAAAATCTTGAATATTTTATGTATAATAAAGTATCTTATGGCTAAAAGGTCCACGTGTTAAATAAATTAATATAGTTTTATATCACTACAGTCAAATGAAAGTTTAACAATTGCAGTAACAAGAACAACAAATATACGAGTTTAGACAAAATTATACTGTTATGTTAACTGTTTTTATTCAAGGGTAGTTTTAAGAGTTGAATAAATTATGGATATGGTAATTATTTTCGAGAAATTGCAATAACATTCATATCATTTTGAATTTTTTAATTTTCTTTCAATTTCAAAATAATAATTTCAAATAATTTTTCATCAAGGGGTTGTTTTTAAGGTAACACTTAACCCTTTTAAGAAAGGGTTAAAAATTTGATAATCAAGATAGAAAACAAAGTTTTTTATGTATTAAAAAAACCGCATTTTTAGTATTAAAAAAGGGACCCTACTGACGAGCAAACTTAATCTATTATTAAAAAAGAGACTCTACTGACGAGCAAACTTAATCTAGAATTAAAAAAGAGACTCTACTGACGAGCAAACTTATTTACGAAAAAATAGGACTTTACTGACGAGAAAAATTACTTATGAAAATAAAATTGGACTCTACTGACGAGCAAAATGATTTATAATAATAAAATAGGACTCTACAGACGAGCAAACTAATCTAGAATTAAAAAAGGGACTCTACTGACGAACAAACTTAATCTAGTATTAAAAAAGAGACTCTACTGACGAGCAAACTTATTTACGAAAAAATAGGACTTTACTGACGAGAAAACTTACTTATGAAAATAAAATTGGACTCTACTGTTGAGAAAAATGATTTACAAAAATAAAATTTGACTCTACTGACGAGCAAAATGATTTACAATTACTCTAATAATAAAATAGGACTCTACAGACGAGCAAACTAATCTAGAATTAAAAAAAGGGACTCTACTGACGAGCAAACTTATTTACGAAAAAATAGGACTTTACTGACGAGAAAAATGATTTACAAAAATTTAAATTGGACTCTACTGTTGAGAAAAATGGTTTACAAAATAAAATAGGATTCTACAGACGAGCAAACTAATCTGGAATTAAAAAAGGGACTCTACTGACGAGCAAACTAATTTGGAATTAAAAAACAGACTCTACTGACCAGCACTCTGAATTACGAAAAAAATAAGACTCTACTGACGAGCAAACTTTATTATGCAAAGTGAAAAAGAAGGACTCTACTGACGAGCAAACTTAAACTAGAATTAAAAAAAGGGACTCTACTGACGAGCAAACTAATCTAGAATTAAAAAAAGGGCCTCTTATTTACTTTATACATAATTCTTACTATAATCATACCGAAAATTTATTCTTAAGCTTTTTTTTAATTTAGAGGATGTTTAAAGGGTCTTAGGGTTTTCACGGGGTTGAAGATGATTTTATTGCAAGGTAAAATGCATTAAAAAATATTTTTAATTATATCCTTTATATTAAAAACGTTTAATACGATAA